TTATATGAACTCATGCAAATCAAAGAGCACAGAACCAGAACAATACACAGTAACAGCAATATTGTATGGTTGATGTGAGAGACAGCTACTCTGATCAAGACAATGATCTAAGACAATCCCAAAGGACCCAAGATGAAAAATGCTTATCCACCTCTACACAGAGAAACAATGAACTTTGACTGCAGATTGAAGCATATGTTTAAAAATGTTTAAAAAATTGTTTTATTTTGTTTGTGGTTTCTTTTGAAACATGACTAACATGGAAGTATGTTTTGCATGACTTCACATCTATGATGGATATCAAGTTGTTTGTCTTCTCGGGGAGGGTTGGGGCTGAAGGGAGGGAGAGAATTTGGAACTTGGAATTTTTAAAAAATGATTGTTAATTATTTTACATGTAATTTGGAAATAATGAAATTAATTAAAAAAAAGTAGTTTTTAAAAAGTAGCTACATACTTGGGGAAACACCCAGCCTGCATGCTGGACCCACGTCCTTCATGGCTAGCCAGTCAGGTTTGCATAGGCAACAGTCCTGTGTTTAAACAGTATTAAGTCCCTGTGTTTAGCAGTTGTTATATATGAAAACCTGTTCTTCCAGCCATCAGAATAGAAGCTTGGATGGGACCTAATGAATTAGTTTAAAATTTTCTTATTTGTTGTCAAATAGAGTTGCTTTTAATAATGTCATTTTTTGTTTGTAATATTATTTCACACAACAGAGCTGATAGATTATGAAAATCTAAGCTAAAGGAAATGTAAAAAGGCAGAATATTTTTTACTTGTTTCCTGTGCTTGCACTTTCATTTTGCTTTCAAAGGTAATAAATATTTGTTGTACTTTTTCAGATTTTTAAGGCTTCACCTAACTAAAGAAAAACACTAAAAACTTTATTTCTGCTGAAAAGAAAGAATATTTTCTGACCTACCAGAATCAATTATGTCTTTTTATCCTCTCTTCTCCTCTCCTCTTTCCTCCTCTCTCTTCTCCTTTTCCTTTTTCTCCTCTCTTCCTTTCTTCTTGTCTCTCTTCTCTTCTCCTTTCTCCTGTCCTTTCTTTCTTATCTTTCTTTTTTGAAACAATAGAGCATTTTTAAAAGCCTCCAGGCTCAGTCTGTTGTGTAAATGTCTCATCTGGTTTGCTTTTCGGTCACACAATTAAATCTAAAGCAATGTATTGGCTTTGGAATGCCATAAAATTTACCTTGCTTTTGGGAAGTGAAGACATGAACATATATGAACCATGCTGTCTTTTGACATGGTGTTACTTCAGCCAAGGGGTTCTTCTTAAAGGAGGAAAGCCACTAACATCTTATCTTGGAACTGGTAATCATATAGGATTCTACCTGTTGGCCACACTTGGGTGGTTATTTACCTAAAGAACAATGCCTGCAGCCTAACACCTCTTGCTGTGAGCTCACATGTTAAGTTGAGCCAGACATGGTCACCATTTGGGTGGAGGAAGTCCAGAAAAAATACAGCAAGTTGCCATAAATTGTCTTAGTGATTTATTGGTTGGACTGTTCCCTCAGTCTGTAATGAATCAGTGCCCCAGCGTGGTGTCAGAGAGCACTGTTCAGCCAAAGGTTCTTGTCTATTAGATTATACCACTTACAGCCTTTAAAAAAAAACAAAACTAGGTACTTTTAACTTTGAGCTCCTGTACAAATGGCAGGCAATAATTAGATTATACATCTTAACTTGTTGCCTATGTATTAACCTCCAGGTTAAAAACTGTCATATCTCTTATGAACAATTAAGGAGTACTCTGCTAGGTACTCTAAGCACAATGAGTTCTGCTCATTGTTGTATTATTGTAATTAGTAGTACTAAAATCATTGTTGCCAGGGCTTTGAGAGCCTTTAAAATTTTTAATAATTTTCATAGGTCTCAATGTATTGAAGATTTCATCCTACCATTAGCCTGGTCTAGTTCATTTATTTTCACTTTTATGCACATATTTCCTTTTAAGGTACACATGAGGGAGTTAGAATGCAACCTGACCAAAGACTGGCAACAAAATATGAAAATTACAGTGAAACTAAAATATTAGAAGGAAACTTAGTTCAGTTCTCTTCTCAGGAATGACTTACTGAGTTGGATATTATTGGAATCATTTGGATTATGATGCTTATCAGTCAGCCTTTTGTTTTGAAATGGAAGCCCAATAATCAAATAAGTTTAGTAAAATTCCCCATGTTAACAGAGAACTAGTAAAAATGGGTCTATATTTTCCTATTTAGCATCCCATTGAAAGTCATATTTTACCTTTCTAATTAAATATTTGCTTATGTGTAGATGATTCAGTATCCAAGAACAAAATAAATAAAGACATATTTTCACACTTTAAGTTAGAATAATTTACAAGAATTCCTATGAGTTGTCTTCTTTGCCAAAGCTCTGAAGTGACTGAATATATAGTTGTGCTATGGGGATATTGTATGTTAAGACAGAATAGCCTTGTGGATGGTAACCTAACCTTAGAATCAGGAAATTCTAAGTTCCATTCCTGCCTCCAACATGTCCTGGCTATATCATTTAACTTCTCATAATCCTGGGCACTTCAGTGACCTGAATCTAACTGTGTTTTCATTATGAAGTTCTGGTCATATGTAATATATATTATGTATAATTTTATAGCTGAAAGACTGGTGAAGCAGGGCTGACCATAAAAACTGTTACCTGGGAGAGAAGAGAAGGAAAATAATTCCTTAGATACACCTCCATACACAGAGATACACACTAGAACCACAGAAAGGATGGTACCTATTGAAAAGTTCCTATATCTGAAGAAATCATCTCCAACCACAGGGGTTGTAAACTTGATTGAATCTCAGAGGAGTTTAGATCTGGAAGATTTTAATTAGTAACAAGTGTCCAGGGACAAAGGGAAAAGGAAAAAATACCTCATGGGAAATGGAAGGAATACCTCAATGGAGCAGGATTAAAAAAAATAAAGACCACTCATTCATTTTCTAATTCATTCATTCAACAAGCATTTACTAAGTGCCCACTATGTGTTTCTCTCCCTCTCACACAAATCTCTTCCAACTTTTGGTTGCCATTGGGTAAATGCAGATAGAAGAGAGTATAGAAGCATTGATGCTTCTTTTTAATATAACTATTATCAACCTCTTCATTGTAAGAACTACATGCTATATACTTCTTTGAATTCATTGCAAAATACAGTATAGGGATAGCTCATGGTAAGTGTTTGATGAATACTTCTTGAATATTTGTTTAATGTCAGAGCCATGAACATTCTGACCCAAGAGAGTCTCCAGTCCCACCAGGGGCAAAAGTCTTCTTAATGTCGCTCAGTTGAGTTCTAAGCTTTTTTTGTACAGCTTACATACTGCTGATGGTAAAATAAGGGAGATTCATGAAAATGTTTGTATTAGAGAGGACTCAGGGACTTACTTTACTTCTATTTTGTACCACTTCTATAGGACAACTGCACTCTTCTCACTTTTCCCCTTTGATCATCCTTGATCTGAGGAATCAGCAGTGGGCACAGACAATTTATGCTACTTTAGAACACAAGGATCTTTCCTGAAGGGATTGACCTCTAGTCAGTTTGTTATGGGACTATTTTAAAAATAAAAAACCCAAGTAATTAATATTATTATTCAATTACTAGAATGTACACACCAAAAATGTCCCATTTGTGGAGCTGAAAATTAAACCTCAGAATACTTCGTTTTGTTTTCTTTTGTTTTGCTCTCCAAATTGTAGAGTATCATTTATTGGTTTAAGACCTTATCACATGTGGTTTTTAATGATTTATAAGGGGAAAAGATTTCCTTGAATTTAATGTTTGTCCTGTTTAATCTGTCTAATCCATCTAAATGAAGAGATGAGTGATACTAGAGAATTTCAGCTGATTTATGAATTTATTAAACATGTATTAGCAGGAACTGTAGGAATTTACTGTACAGACTAATTCCTGTGCATCATGTTAATTAGATGACTGTGAATGTAAGATGTTTAAAGGGACTATATAATACTTGCTCTGTTTATCCTGGTGATTTGGCTTTATTTTCACATTTAAGAAAACAGCTTTAATTAGAAAGACTCATAATATTTCCATGACTTTCTCTAATGAGCACTGCTCCAGATGAAGGGTTCAAGCAAATGCCATTGTTTGCATCATGGGGCCCTGCTTTTCATGCTTCCAGTCAGTTCACAAAAATTCAAATTTTGGACCCTTTTCATACATGTTTATTGCTATGGAAAAATATGTAGGAGTTCCTTCACCTGCCCATCATTTAAAAGCAGTCAAATGAACACTAGGCAAACGTCTGTGTGAAGGGGAGCTCATAGGCGAATGTTAGAAGTAGCTAAAATCCAAACCTCACAAAGAAGATTTTAGTAGCCCAAAGCTATTGAACCACAGAGAATAATCTGTGGCTAGTGAGGTGGGCACAGCAAATTACAATTAACTCCTGCAGCATGAGATGCTGAGTACCACTCTTTTCCTACATGTATGAATGGCTAATTTTTAATCTAGGACTCACTTACCCTCTTCTATCTATGGAAAAGTATTAGAGAGTATGAAGAAATTTTAGTATTAGCCTTAAAGAAACACAATTAGAAAGGTAAATCTGCTGCAAGAGAAGTCACATAATGCACTCAGTAATCAAATATAGATGCCCCAAGTGTTATCCACTGCTTTGGATTATCCATCTTGCCACTCCCTTCCATTAGTGAGGATAAACTGGAGTTGATTCTATTTGTTTACCTGTTAAAAGTGGTAGTAAGTACTAGTTGCTATTAGGTCCTTTAGTTCTTTAGAGGATGGCTTACCTTTCTTTTCCAGCAAACTACTCCATAAGGTCTATTATTACAAATCTACCCTTGTTGATTTAATTGGACTTTCCTTTTTTTTTTAAACTCATTTATTAATACTGATTGATGACTCTGACTTAAATAGAAGCTAAGGAGGTAACTTTTCTCTTCATAACTTCAAAGGTGACTCTTTTTGTTTTGTTTCCTTGCTGCAGCAGCCATCCACTCTGAGTTATGCAAGAGACATCATTAAAACAAAAGGTCTGGGACTCCAGGGGCTCAACAAAGGACTCACAGCAACTTTAGGACGGCACGGCATTTTCAACATGGTTTATTTCGGATTCTACTTCAATGTTAAAAACATAATTCCTGTCAATAAGGTAACTATCTTATGAATGCAAATGTAAAAAATCCAAAACAAAACACAACATCCTAATATATTTGATATGGGCTCTCTTTTCACCTCTTTCAATTCAGAGGAGTATTTCTTTTTGGTAAAAAGTGACACTAAATTACTTCTTGTCTTGTATAAGAGTGTTATGGTTACTCTATGTACATGGTTTCCTTTCCCCCCCCCTCATATCCTTCTGTTGGTACTTCATGAATATATATAAAAATCTGCATAATTTTTCTACCTCACAGCTGTTGCTATCTTCATGCAAATCATAAATTTCATATTTTAAATAAAACTTGAGATTGTGAAGGAAAATTCTCATCTTGAGATTTTAATCTTCACAACACTCTAACTGTAACACTTACATGGTATGTAACTTAGGGGAAACTCATTTCAATTCTCTGAGCCTCTCCTCACCTGTAAAATGGGAACAATAATTCTTTATTTTATAGATTTATTATGTAGAAAGAACTTTATATAGCTCAAAGTAATGTACAAATGTGTCATAATTATGTATAAAATTATGTTGATAAAGATATTAAATCAACTACTCTAATCACAGAATTTGGGGGCAAGAGATTACTTCTAAGTACCTTCAGTTTCTTCTATAAAAAGAATTGCATATAGCCTGCAATACAGCTAAATGTCTATATTAGTTTTGCATCATTATCACCACACACCCCTTTCCTCTGCCAACAAAACACCTCTCCTTCTTGTAGCCAAACAGAGAAGCTAGAGCACCAAAGTTAACTCAATAAATCTGAGGGATACTGGGGCATAGCAGTTTGGAAAGAGTACTATTTGCAGGTGCTGGCTAGCTTCCCATCATCAATATTTGAAATTGGCTTGTTTGATTTATATTCCTAGCTTTTAAAATTAAGATTCATAGGATTTAGAATTGGAAGAGGCCTGAATTAGACTTTCCATAGTCCAAGTCTGTCGTTTAACAGAGGAGGAAACTGGGGCACAGAGTGGTGAAATGAGCTTCCCAAAGCACCATAAGTCACAGAGCCAGAATTTAAACCCAGATCTGACTCCAGATTCAGTATGAGGACAGAGTAATTCCAGCAACTCTTCGGGAGAGGTGTGGAGAGAAAGAAAAACTATGGAAGTTGAAGACATGTAAAGAAAGTTGGCTCTCCAACTTGTCCTTGGTTTTCAGTTTGCCTCTTTAGAAACTTTGGGGGCCTTTCCCTTAGGTGATATCAGAACCTCTCTCGATTCAAATAAAAATATCATCTTGCTTCCACCTAAAGACCACATTCATTCTTGTTTATTTTGAGTATATCCTAATGTATAAAATATACTATGTATGTACACATATATGTGTATATACATACATGTGTATATATGTGTGTGTATATCCATATATGAGTATAACACATGTACACATATAGGACACTTCTCTTTCTGTTGGCTCTTTGCTTGAATAAATGTTTTCTCTCTGCTATTTGTGAGGGGCTTTTGCATAACCAGCTTTTGATGGGAAGGAGCCATGCTAACAGGTGTCAGGTTGGAATTACCCTGCCATTTAAGAGCAATCAGGGAAGTGCCTCTTGTTCTGATCCTATTGTACCCATCAACCAGCAATATTAGGGAGTATTCATATAAACATGTATATACATATATAATGTATGTATAGATAGGTGGATATACATACATATACATACATATATACATACACACACACACACACACACACACATATATATATATATATATATATATATATATACATACATACACACACACACACACACACACACATAGATATATATTTTGTCTCCCTTGGAGAAGGGTTAGCCAAATTTCCCCCAATAAAGTTTGGTAATCTATACAAATATGTCTTTTCCTATGTGGTCAATACATATCCTACACCTCAGTAACCTTATGAGTTCCCATGGATTTAATTGTCATTGTCGGGATGGTGACTCCCAGATCTATATATCCAGCCTTAGTTTCTCTCCAGCTCTTTATCTCTAGTTCTCTTTATCTATACCTCCAGTTCTATATCAACAGATGTTCTATAGGCATCTCAAAATGAATATGTTCAAAACAAATCTAATTCTTTTTCCCCACTAACCTCTTCCAAAATTCCCTATTTCTTTTGAGACCAGAATCCTTCTAGTAGCCCAGATTCAAAAATTTTGTATTATTCTCAACTCCTCAATATCACCCATCTCACATGTCGAACCAGTTTCCAATACATCTCATCTCTTCATCTCTCTTCCCTCAAACAGCCACTACCTTAGTTCAGACCCTCATCAACTTTTTCTTGGACTATTGCCAATAGCAACTTAATTTGTCTCCTTTTATCAAATCTCTCCCCACCTTAGTCTATCCTCCACATGGCTCACAAAGTAATTTTCCTAAAGCACAGATCTGACCATATCACTCCACTACTCAATAAACTTCAGCAATTCCCAATTACAGGATTACAGGATAATAGATTGAGTGCTAGAAGGCATCTTAGAGGCTACTGAATCATTTTACAGATGAAGTAATGGAAGTACAGAGAGCTTGGTCAAATGGCTAGTAAGTGTGTTTGATAAGATTGGCCTCAGGTCTTCTTGACTCCAAGTACAGTGCCCTTGCCACTGTGCCACTATGCATTTAGCATTTAAAAACCTTCACAATTTGTCCTCAACCTTTTCCAACTTTACTATACGTTATCCTTTTAGGCAGCTAGGTAGCACAATAGATTGTGTTGGACTTGCAGTCCAGAAGTCTTGAATTCAAATGCTGTGTGTACACAATATAAGTTGTGTGGTGCTGGACAAGTCACTTCACTCAGCCTCTCCAGATTGTTATCTTTTATTCATTTATACTGCATTCTGGCCAAACAGGCCAAATGACTCTTGATCCCTTCTCATTGGCTGTGCCCTGTAGGGAGGAATGCACTTTCTGCTCACCTCCACTTCTTAGAATCCTTTTGAGAATATTCCTTTGAGGCTTAGCTAAAGTGCTACTTCCAACATGAACTCTTTCCTAACCCCTTACACAGATGCTAATTCCTTCCCCATAAAATTATGTATATATGCCCATGTTGTTTTACTGGATTAGATAGTAAGTTCCTAAAGGGCCAGGACTGCTTGCTTTTGTCTTTATATCCTCAGTACCTAGTGTAGTTGTTAGGTACTCAATAATTGGTTGTTGGTGTTTAATAATTGCTTCTTCCTCAATTGACTGACTGATACTAGCATAATACTAGCAGGCTTAGATCAAATAGTAATTGAAGCTAAATGTGATTTATTACATAATTAAATTCATCCTCATCAAGCTAATTATACCAAATGTTTATACCATTTAGAGGTATCTGCTGATGGCCTTCTTCTGTGGAGGCTTAAGCTCCCTCACTTTTATCCAGGATCTCAATGTTTCCATCAAGCCTGCTAAGCAATTCCCTTTCCTCCAGGTGAATTTACATTCCTTATAATTATGTAAAAACATTTTCACTTCCCTTCTGCCCATATCATTAGAAAGCAAAGTGTATCTACACCCAACAATTCCTCTCTGAGTCCCTGAAGCCCTTTCTAGGCTAAATTCCTTCTATCCCAGGGGAAAAAGGATCAATTAAATGGGGACTAAACTGTAAAAATGTAGTCTGCTAGAGAGTTCACAAAAGACTACATGTTATCTTCTTATAGCTTTATTAAAGATACTTTGTATATATAAACAGTTCATCATTCTTATAAAGATTTTATTAACAATGAGAAGTGAGTTATGTGGATCAATGGTTCTGTTGTTCTCCCAGCTAATTTTTGGAATACTAAAATATCTCTAATATGCAAATAATCTATCATTTCATTGGCTTGAGTAACTCAATGTGGAAACTTCCACCACCAATACAAAGCAGCAGTTTATAATCCATCTATGATTTATTTCCTTTTTTTTTTAAGGCAGTTGGGGTTAACTGACTTGCCCAGGGTCACACAGCTGGTGTCAAGTGTTTGGTCTGAGACCGGATTTGAACTCAGGTACTCCTGACTTCAGGGCCGGTGCTCTATCCACTGCACCACCTAGCTGCCTCTAAGATAATTCTTAAAGAGTTGCTGAAGTTAGATAAAGGTTAAGCCATTTGCCAAGGGACATAGAACAATTACGTGTCAGAGGAAGGATTTGAACTCTGGTTTCTCAGACTCCATGACTGGCATGCTATACACTGTGCAACACTATCTCTATTAATGTCATCTGTGATTTTGTTTCCATTCTTTTGGCACCTTCCTTTCATAGAGATATCTTGTAATCACACTGTTTTTTCAAGGTTATGTCACTTCCAGGCTGGATTTCCTGAATATATTTTGGACCAGCCACTCTTCCTCATTTAATATTTTTAGATGTTAGTTATATTTCTTTGCATGCCATCTTGGGAACTGAATTGTTAAGGTCCATGTGGTTGTTTCTCCTTAACTGATGATGAAAATAGTTTATCATAGAAATATCACAGATGTATTCTATTTTATATCTATTTATTGTCCTCTCCAAGTTTAATATATGAATGATCTAGGGATGATATGCCTCAGGTGTTTCTCATACTAAGCTTTATGTTGCCTTTTGATTCCACTGCTTTTCAGTGTTTTATGAGGCAATTTTCCTTCTAATTTTCCATCATCTCCCTCCACTGTACTTAGAGATTCATTTGTATTCTAAACCATTGTTAACCTTGGCTGCCATCTCCATCTGTTTGGGAAGAGAAAAAAATGTTTGCTAGCTAAGATGTTTTCAGGTCTCTCTTGGTTGCTCATGGAGGTTTCTTTTATATCAGCTAAACTTTTACAATGTAAGGTTATAGTAATTTCTCATAATCAAAAGTTCATTTGAACAACTCACACGGACACATCCCTACTTCAGCTCTCATTACCTCTCATCTAGCAATAGCCTGCTAATTGGTCTCCCTACCTCATCTTTCCTTCTTCAATACATCCTCCACATAGCTGCCAAAGTTAGTTTCTTAAAGCACAAATATGGCATTCCCTTCTCAATAAA